TTAGGACAGCTGAACATGAAGAGAGATACAACAAGAAAGTGGCTGCCAAACCCATAATCAGGGAGAGGAAGATGCTCCTCCAGCAAGGGGAATATCCGGACATTTACAACAATTTGGTCCGAAGACGATGGAAGTCTTATTCCAACTTCCTTACCGACAGCTCAGGCACAATTTGTAGAGAATTTTATGCAAACGCCTACAACTTTGATCAGGGAGCCCGCCGCGTATACATCAGCTATGTTAGAGGCAAGGAGATAGCCTATGATTCTAACACCTTACAGGATCTGCTCAAGACAGCCCATCACAAACCAGGAACAAGATGTGAGTACAGACAGTTACTCGATAAAGTTGAGTATGGACCTGCTAGAAGTGACCCAGCGTCTGATACTTGGGACCCTATAGAAGAAGCTGCACCTATTTTGGATACCATTGCCCTTCCAGGAGAAAACTGGGAGATGATGAAAAACAACATTCGTCCAAAATTGTTGCATCTTAACCAGCTCAAGCCAGTGGCCAAAGTATGGTTCCAGTTCATCATTAATAACATCTTGCCCACCACCCACACATCTGAGGTGCAGGTAAAGAGAGCAGCACTTATACACACCATCATGACTGGGGGCACAGTTGATCTTCCGACAATCGTAGCAGATGGTATCTACGACTTTGCACACCAGACATCTGCAAAAGCTGCCATTGCACACAGCTCTCTCATCCAGACCCTGTGTCATCGGGTCGGAGTAGAGATACCCACTGAGCCCAGGCTAGTGGAAGTGTGCCCCCTATTGATGCTGCTCTCATCCGAACAACCATGGGTGTCCCATCTACTCCCCCATCATCTCCAGCACCTCCAGTACCACCAGCAGCACCAGCCCGACGGGCACGACAGCCAGATATCCCTGCTATATGGGAGGCAGTGCAGTCACTGCAGCGTCAGCAGGGATCTATGCAGAGGAGAGCTAGATACTCTCAGAGCAGACAGATGGCTTTTCAGGATTATATGAGTGCACAGATGGTCGAGCTATGTCGCCAGCAGGACAGACAGGCATCACCATTCGCATATCCAGCATATGCTGGATCTGATGAGGAGGCCCCAGGCCCGACCACTGCTGAGGATGCCACTGCTGCTAACACTGAGACGGCTGCTGTTGAGGATGATACAGTCTGCATTGATGATGCCACTGCTGTTGAGGATGATACAGTCCGCATTGATGATGCCACTACTGCTGAGGCCGACCAGGAGGATGCAGGAGATGACGACACACCCACCACTGATATGGAGGAGGACTGATCCTCACATCAGTTTATCTGTTTTCAGACTTTTATTTTTTAATTATTATTTTGCTGTTTTTACTATTAGTCTAGTGCATGTAGACATGGAGGTATATTGAGACTGACCTGACATGACTGATATTGTTTTGGATAGATGACATGCTGACGTAGTTTCTTTATCTGTGACATGTGTGCAGAGTACATTACCATTTTTTTCTGATATCTTGCTTAGGATTCTTTTTAGATTTAAATTTATTGCTGAGGACAGCAAGATTTAAATCTGGGAATGGGTACCAACGCAATTTATCAGACCATAAACTTCACATGGTCGGAAGGAGAAACTCATGATTACACGGAGTACACAGAAATATCCAAATTACAAATGCAGTGTTTCAGGGGAGTTTCTTAATATTATTTTCATATTATAGTTCATTATTTTTATATTATTTAGTATTAGTTTATTTTAGAATTATTTTGATTTAGTATTAGTTTATTTTAAGGTCTTCATATATATTAGTTAGTTTAATATTTAAGTTTTTTTTATTAAGACCCCTTCCATCTTAGTCAATAAATAAATAATTAAGTGGATCTTAAGAGGTTTTCCATTGTGCTTGATATGGATGCATAATGAATAATTACATGAAATTGGTTGATAGTTGATATCAAGAGTATAAAGATGTAGATAAATTTTATTTTCGTACGTAAATGAGCGTCAGTCAAGCATGCTTCATAGTTCACTGGAATAAGAGAAGAATAACTAGAGTAATCAAAGAGAGAGTGGAAATAAGTCTCACATCCTTCGCCGTAAGCTTTTGAGCCTAAACAGAATTTTTTTTGTGGTGTGAACTTCTCTGTATGAATCACTCTAGAACTTGTTTTGTTTCTCTTTGAAATGGTCTGTAGTATACAATTGTTGAAATGATAGAGGCAGTTCTTTCTGAAAGCTAGATAGCCAAATAGCCACCCTGATGTTCATCCTTAGTTGAAGCCCCTTTGAGCCTAGGCCTATTTATTCATTGACAGCTTATTGTGAATAGCCATTTTATACACATCCTCACCTGAACTGATTAAATTTCAAATTTAAATGAGGGACTAGATATGATTGAAACAAAAAGAGAAAATCAAACTCTAAGTGTATGGGAGAAAAGGGTGAAAAGAGGAAAAAGCCAAAAAGTGGTGGAAAAGAAAAGCAAAGAAAAAGGTTGAAATGTGTATCTGTACAAAAACAGAAAAAGAAAAACAAAAGGAAAAGGGAAAAGAAATAAAAGACTCATATTATATGAATAAGTGGAAGAAGAAAAGAGAAAAAAAATAAGAGAAATCTGTTTACTATATGTTGAACAGTTAAACTAGTTCCTCTTTGAAGTTGAATTTTGATCAGTTATCTTACGCCACTTACCCAGATGATTCCTTTCCTTTTATCTAAAGCCACGTTACAACCTTAACAAAGACCTCTTGATTGACTTTGTATAGTAGTAAGACTGTGGAGAGTGAGAATATAAACAAGCTTATGGTAGTGTTAATTCAGTAAAGTAAGAGTGAAACACATACCCTTAAACACTGAGTATGAGTGAATAAATAAAAATCCAGTGAGAGGGTGTTGTGGGAATTAAATTGTACTACTCTTTCTTTTGAGAACGCATGTTATGATTTTATGACTGGTGAATTATGGTTGTTTGCTTGAAATTGATGTGTCATTGATTTTTAATAAGTCTGAATACTTTGGTATCTCATTATTGATCAGTTTTCTGCCTGATATTCATTAAGCATGACTAGCCGTCTTCAAACTTTCCCATAGTTTTATTCTAATTAGTTGCTGAGGACAGCAATGTTCAAATCTGGGAATTGTTTGATAAACCTTTAGTTTATCTTATTTTATAGACTAAATTAATATAAAATATCAAGTTAAATAAGTCAAAAACTAAGGTTTAATATAATAATCATGAACATTATCTGAATTTTTGTTTAATGGAATCATCTTTGCTATTTTTAGGGATTTGTTGACAAAAGGAGTCAAAGATGAAGATTGGATAAATAGAGATCACAACTAGAAAAGATAAGATCAAGAGATGATAGAAGAAGATCAAAAACAATAAGATTGAGGATCTTATCAAGTTGTTAGAAGTGGGAGCTTAAGCCCCCATTCAGAAGCTTAAGCTCCCTAAAAACGCAAATAGCTACTGCCTCTGGGCGCTTAAGCCCCCAACTCAGGGCTTAAGCGCGCCACAAGAAGAAAAAGTTGTCGCGAGGAGCGCGCTTAAGCGCCATTCAGAGCGCTTCAGCGCGCAACGCGAATCAGAATTCACTGTCCTAGGGCGCTTAAGCGCGCTACAACAGGCTTAAGCGCCCAGACAGATCCAACTTAGGCCCATTCGAGTTTTCTACTAGGATACGAACTCTTGGCCAATAAAAGGGCCATTGGGGACCAGAAATACATAACTTTTACATTGCAAAACAACTTTTGGGTGCTTGGAGGCTGAAGGAACGCGGAGAAACATCAGATTCATGTTCGTGAGCGGCGGAGACGGATCAACGTCAAGTGTTCACTGGAGATATTGAAGATCCACCAATCACTTATGGAGTTTGGGGGAGCTTTTCTATTTTCTTTTGTTCTTGATTTTGCCATGTCCGGCTAGTTCTTTAAGTAGTTAGGGTTAGATGGATTTTAGTCGATTTATTATGTTTTGAACAATTCGCTGTGTTAATTTTCCTTTATATCATGAATGAAGTTATCTGTTTTTAATGCTTTATATAGGCTTGAATCTTATATAATGATCATCGGTGAATGCATGACAATAGGAATGTTGGTGTGTGATCCATATCTGATAACTTCATCGTAAACGTTATGATTCTAGGGATAGACATAGGGTTTGCGTAATCTTTAAGATTCTTGAATTTAATGCTTGCATGCTTGGGGAATAACCGGGGAACTAGGGTTCTTCCAATATTGTAAAGGTTTTAGAGTAACAAGGGATTGAGCTCTAATAACATGCGAAAGAATTGATTAGATTGATACTAAGGACAATTAACATTAAGAAGGAATTCAAACGTAATAAGGAGATTAAATGAAATCGAACCCCTAGCTACGTTTTTATTTTATTAGTTAAATCACATCTTTAATTTCTTGTCTTTAATTCTTGCAAGTAATTAGCTTAATATTTAATATTTTAATTTTGCAATTCAAATCCTGTTTCCAAATACACTTTCGATTGTCTAACTAAGTTTGCGATAGTGAATTAGTGCTTGAACCGTAATCCTCGTGGGAACGATCTCTTACTTAATCATATATTACTTGTACGATCGGTGCACTTGCCGTGAGTAGCAACAATACCTCTTCCAAAGGTGGTACAGAGAAGATTCGAACACATGCTCTCACCCTCACTTGCTTAGCTCTCATGCGCCAACAGAGCTACCAATATTGGGTAATGTAGTTGATATTTTAATCTCTATTGATAATATTGATTTGAGAAATAAATCAGTTAAATACTTTTAAGTAGAAATCATAGATTTTCACAATGAAAATATTAAATGATGATGTGACGAACAAGGTAAACTTTATTTTTTGAGCAAGTGAACCTTTTAACACAATAAACAAAGCAACAAGCCACCTAAGCAGTTGCACAGGTACGTACAGTTTAGCTCTAAAAATTGCATTACAGATCTATAAAAGTAGTAGAAGATGATTCATCACTCAAGACGACCTCTTTCGATCAATCGGAGTTGGTAGTAAATTAAAAGTACAAGTTGGACCTGATTAGTCTATTGAAAAAAGCCAGCAGCGACGCCACTACACTTGCTGTAAATTGAAGGCGAAAGTTGTATCCGAATCTCTCTTTTAGCACATGCCTGAAGACAAGGAAGTAGGACAATGCAATGACGATAACTGCATTACCAATTGCCGATGATCCCAACACAGCATACGCGCCTGTGGCGAATGCGACAATCATTGTTGCTACTGAAACCAAAGTGAATGAGAAGGCTACTGCGGAGAGATATTGATCTGTCCACACGGCATTATTCAGTGGCGAGAAAAGGTGTATTAAAGCTGCAGAAGCTGACAGAACCAGAGATATCGTGTTTGATAGCATGAATGCTTTGAAAGAGGCGTTGTGTCTCAAAACAGGGCTACCCTTATGCTCGCCATCTGGTATTGTACCTCCGGGTAGGGTAAACCCAGCTGCGAAACTCACCGTTGCAATGAGTGTCGCCACTATTAGATGTGCTTGCTTTGCTTCCGGAGCAAACTCTAACTTGCGACTCTCTTCCGTCGGTTCCTTCCATTTTAGATCTAGTCGCTGATTTGTCTTAGCTCCATCCCTTTTTAATATCCTTATGAATAACTGCATTTCCGTAAAATTGTTACCTTTTATATGTCAGATAGCAAAGTGTTCACGTATATTCACTTATTGCAATCAAATCCCTTATTTATATGTAACAAAAATGAAAAAGAAAAAAATTACTTAAATCCAACATAATAGTAGTTTATCTCTTACAAATTCATCAAAAACTGTGACACTCCTTTTACTTTTTCTTTTTTCTTTTTTTCTTTAAATTGCGGGCCCTATCACATATGTGTCTATAATATAAGAGAAGATCTCTCATGTAACATAAGATTAAATGAACCCAAAAAAATCCCTTATTTATTTTTATTATTGTTTTTAAATTGAAAAATGATACCTCAACTAAAAAAAGTAAAAAACTAATGACTAAGAGAGAGAATGTTATCATATCAAAAAATTCGTATAATATTATTTTTTGATTAAAAGAATAGAAAAAACAGCAGGTAAATAGAATAGGTGATTTGAATTCTTAATTACCCAACAATTTTAACATATGATAGAATTTAATTTCTAAGTAAAAATTAAATTTTAACACAAAATAAACATGTACATTATTCATGCTTAGAAAAAAAATATGCTTTAAGATAATTGTTTGATATCATCAATTCTAAATCTAGATGTTAGAGGAATATAAAATAATTATTCTAATATTATCCAACGGCTTAAAATTTTAGGTTTGATGGTTGCTTTACATGGTCCGTGACAAGGTGTTACGGGTTCGATCCTCGTTGCCTCAATTATTTATTAGAATTAAGTCAGCACAAGATAAAACAAAAAAGAATAGTCTTGTACAATATCCACGATTTAAGCTCAAACGACTCTTTACGTGATGGGATATGTTAAAGAAATATAATATAAAAATCATTAATGAATCTTCATTGCTTAAGTTTTTGGAAGATTTTAGCTCTCAAAGATTTTAACTAATAAATATACCGGATAAGTGGGAGACTTGAATATAGGGTTTTAGATTTAGGTGAGCTTGTCTTAAGAATAGAACTTGAGATTTGTTGATTTTTATTATAGTGAATTAATTTTATCCATTTGGATGAGGGTATCCAATTGGAGTCCGGCATATTATTTTATCTTTTCCTATTACGCCATGGAATTTTTTTCATGTTAAATTCTATGTTTTTTTATATTTTATTGTTGGTATTTTTTTTTTTTCTAAAACTAACTTGAATTTTATAAACCTAAGTCACTCATCTTAAGTTCATCATAGGAATTCAAAATTTTGAACTAAGCCATTGTTAGTTCCTTTATTGGTAATTAACTATAAGGGGTAAAAGTGTAATATACAATGTCATTAAAAAGATGCCACTGTTAGTGTTTTACTTGCTGCAAATTTCTAAAGGTAAGTGTAATTTAAAAAAGGGTTTTATAATTCTCATTTAATATGAGAATTCAAATTTTTCTACACACCCTTCGATTTTCGTGCTGATATGGGTCCTACATATAATTTTTTCTAACACCTGGGTCCCACATGCTTTTTATCTCTACAACATGATAATTGAATTCTCATTTAACATGAGAAAATCAAACCCCTTTAAATAATAATAATAATAATAATAATGTGGTTAAAAAACCTAATAAATTTATAATCAAATTGTTGATATTAAAAGGGGAATTTTTTTTTACCTGTTTTTCCCTTGCTTTATCGGAATCTTCTAGACCGAACACGACATCTAGAGCCGTTTGATCTTGTTTGTTTATGGCCCGTATGTCGACTCTGCGGTGACGTACTAATTTCCAAGTGCTGCACCTGGAACTCGCCATGTGATGGAGGGGTGTGTTTCCATCAAAATCTTTCTCATTGTAAAGGTTGCTGAGCGATAAGTTGCGCAAGATTTTCTCTGTTGCACGGTAACTGTACCCATTTACAGCATAATGAAGAGCATTCCAGCCTTTGTTGTCCACAATCTCTGAACAATCTGGATAGTATTTTATAATCATTGACATAACACTCCGATGATTACAATAAGCAGCGATGTGAAGAGCCGTGCTTCCCTGATTATCTTGCATATATGCAGTATTTTCATCTTGTTCAAGCAGCAACTTTGTCAAACGTCTGTGCCCGATTTTTGCCGCATAATGAAGAGGAACCCAACCTTTTTTGTCCTTATGTTTGACTGCTGCTCTCACATGTTCATTCTCTACGAGAACTCTTGCCGTTCCTATACCAGAAATCAATACATCATCGTTATTATTATTATTATTATTATGAACACATACTGTCAACACGGATGGAGCATCTAGGAGACCATATGGGGGAGCTGGTTGTGGTGTGGTGCTCGGGGATAGATCAGGTAATTGGCTTGATGGATTTGCGTATCATATTGGTCAATGTTCAGCTTGGGAAGGAGATTGGAGGAATATTATTTTAGAAAGTGGTTCAAATTTGTTATCACTTTGCTCACCAAAGATGAAGGAGCAGCTAGAGAGTCGCGATTAGTGACTCGCATTCGAGCATGGTTAGCGAAAGATTAGGAGGTTCATCTTATTCATACCTAGATAGAGAACAATGGCTGCACAGATTGGTTATCTAAATTCTCACTGAATCACCCAATGAAAAATAATCTATGTGTTTTTCATTCTCCCCCTCCTGGTATTTGGTTGTTGTATCTAGCATACTTTTCTCATGTTTGTTCTTCTCATTAAGTTAATTTAATTTAGTGAGCTGTCTCTATCCTTACAGATTACCAAAAAAGAAACGCACAATATATAGGTCCAATGAATTTATGATTTTCTCATTCTTTGAATACCGGTTTATTGTTTGTATTTTTAAATAAGTCATGTTATTTTAAATGAAAAAAGATATAAATAATGAAAATCATGAGAGATAAAGTAAGTGATTTTTTTAATAATTTAAATAAAAAATATTAAATTATGTCTTTTTTATCTTAAAATGACATAACTATATATGATTTAAAAGAACAAATATTTTTCTCATTACATATTGAATTATTGTTTTGGAACATTAAAATTTGAAAACTGTTTTTTCGAATATCAGGAAAAAAAAATAGAAGTAAACATATGATTGTTTCATATTATATACTTTACCATGAAAACAGAAGCACATAAATATATCTATATAGCATAAAGAAGATGAACAGGGGCAAGGTTTAGTACTTATGTGACGGTTAATGACCGCAGCATGCAATGCCGTTTGGTCACTGGGTCCACCATATGCCGGTGATCTCATTATCTCTAACATCCGAGACACCGTGTCACTATGTCGTCTCTCTGATGCCAGATAAAGCGGAGTCTCATTGGCATTATTGGCACAATAATAGTGATAAGGATCCATTGCTAACAACATCTCCACCACTTTAAAGTGACGATAGCGCACTGCCTCGTGTAAGGCAGTGTCATTCTCATGATTTGTGGCTCTGATAAGCTTTTTGTCTGCTCCAATTCCATTCTCAATGTCTTGAGGAAAATTAGCTTGGGCACGCTCAATCATTAATTTAGCGATACTGCAGTGTCCATACCTTGCAGCGATATGAAGGGGAGTTTCTCCTTTGGGGTTGGGTTTTAGAACTAGATCTTCACACTTATCAAGAATCTGTTCCACAAATTGTGTTTCTTTTGTTTGCATCTTTCGGGATGTCAAGTGTACATGAAGGATTGTGTTTTTGTTTGGGGTGAGCAGATTCTCAATATTCGGGACATTGGTGAATTCTTGGAAGTTGCCTTGCACTGCAGCCTCGTAAAGCTTACGATCAATGCGGGTGATAGTAGTGTCGCGCACGGACGAAGATGCTGAAATATATTAATTCACTCGAATCAGAACTTAATTCAGGGTTTGAATTAAGGGGTTTGATTTTCTCGTGTTGAATGAGAATTCAATTCTCTAGAGATAAAAAGTTTGTGAGACCCATATGTTAGAAAAAATTATATATAAGATCCATGTTAACACGAAAATCCAAGGGTGCGTAGGAAAATTTGAATTCTCATGTTGAATGAAAATTATAAAATCCTTTAATTAATCCTTTTATAACGGCTTATATTAGCTGCAATAACTTTGCGTTCACTCTTTTTTGATTTTTTCAAGAAATTCTCCTTCACTTGGGAACTTATGAGAGACTAAAACCATCGTCAAGCCATGAGTTTGAGTAAAGTGAAAGGTTACGCGTACATTGTACACATAAAAGCAAGGGCAAAACCGGAAATCCAGATTAGCATATTTAGAGGGGCTTAAAAAAATCCCTAAACCCTCTCAGTATACTGAATGGGCCAGATATTTCAATCAGCCCAGTAAATACAATCTTTAAAATACCCTATATTCAGACCCATACACAAACAAAATTTATTTTAATTTTACGGGGTTTGAGATTATTAATTTAAGAAAATAATATTTCTGCTTTTGTTATAGAAAAAATTTCCGTCACATTCATATAAAAGTGAGTGAATTTCATTAATATTTTTTCTCTCTTCTCTTTATAATAAAATTCACTCACTTTTATGTGAGTGTAGTAGAGAAACTTTTTCTTTAAGAAAAACAGAAATATTAAATCCTTAATTTGAATTCAATTTAGTGGTAAAAAATAAAAAAAATACAAAGATTAAAGTGATGATATGCAATTTCACCGGCGCCCCCATAAACTAGCTTGGATAGCAACACAACACTGAGCACCCCATAACGGTTAGATGTATAAATTAATTTGGCCCTCCTCTACATTCGTATGACATAGATAATTGACTATGATAATTAAGCTTATAATGAGAAAGGAAATAAATTAAAAAGGGATAGAAAACCTGGATTGGGCAATGTGCTTCCTTGTGCAGTTTCTGAATTGGATGAAAGTGATTGTGGACAGTCCATGACGAAACCGAAATTAATTTGGTCCTTTGCTGAACCTAATAATATGATAATACCTGTCTCCAAAAATAGTAATAGGATAATATCCGCGTTAATATGAACAGGTCCTTCAAGAAAAACTTGCAAAATTTGCCTGTACGTATAACGTGAGCTTTACTATATTTTGTATGATGTGACTTTAATCACTTCTATATTGACATGCGTTTACTCAATATCTTAATTAAATTATTGGAAAACACTTTTTCTTTTAAGAGAAGAATTGTCCTGTTTATAAGAGATTGTTTTACGTGTAATGTTTGTTTTTATTTATTTATGGTGGAGCCTATCAGAATTATGCGTAAATCTCCAGTTAAATGAGATATGCAAAGCCTTTAAATTATTTAAATTAAATTTTTCTAATTTCAAAGTCTTAAAATCTATTCATTGATATGTTAGAAATTATATTGCTGCTGGAATTTGATTGGCGCATACAATGAACATATGAGATTTTTTGGCCATCAGCTTATTTTATGCACTTAATATTTTTTGGGTGGTGTATCCCAAGATTCTTTACCCAAAGACTAATTATATGGCAACAACTCAAAAATATGCACCATTCTTATATTTATTACAGCTTTTTTTTTAACACCACAATTATTACAGTTAAAACTTGAACTTGTACAATTGTGCAGGAAACTGGCATTTTTTTTTTTTTTAAAAAAGTTGCATAACACTCTTATTTGAAATTGTCATTGCATCAAGACGAGTCATCTTTACAAGTTTAAGATTATTTTTCAAATAAAATTAGTGTACATTAAATATTTTTCAAATAAAATTAATGCATAAAAAAATTAAAAATCATAAAACAATTGATTTTAATTCGATTAATTTTTTTTTAAAAGTAATTAAGGACAGACCATGGTGATAGGTTATAAGGGTGCTCACAAAAAACATGTTCTTGACCCATGTTATGGCCCCAAGTCTGACTTGTAAAATTGGTTCTAGCCCACCTTCAAGTAACAAACCCTCTACAAATCGTATTTAGCTTAGGCTTTCAAGAACCCTAATCTTTCTTTGCTATCACCGTGCATTTGCCACCACTAGTGGCTGCCTTCACCATAGTAACCTTTAATTCTCAGGTATCAAACAGAAGTGGAGGGTGATAGAGAACGAGGACACATAAGCATCGTTTAGGATTTAATTCTTACATTCTCTATAGCCTTCTTTCAGTTCTTACCATATGAACTTGGTCAAGATGACTAATTTGATTAGTTTTATTCATGCAGTTTAATTTGTTAATATGTACTATTATTGATCTGTTTGTTATTAAGATAGTATATAGTAGTGCGATTTTATAAAGGTAAATAGATATGACGAATTTTTTGTGTTAGGCACTCGAACGTTACCCACTACTTTGGAAGCATATCGTATATTGTCAATTAATTTCAACACCAGAAAGCTTAAAATGTAGTTCAAACACATGGTAAAGAACTTTGGGATACACCACCCAAAAGCTAGCTCAAAGGATGAGAGTGCCCAAAGCTTTATAAACTCTACATTAGTTGCTCATACAATCAATGTGGGACTATTAGTTGCTCATACTATATATCTCAACACATGAGCACAAAACCATGAAGCACAGGCAAATGGAGAGGGAGGGAGAGAAAGAGACAGAGAAACTTACCAAGTATGTGTGGTTGCTCTTCGTCTTGTTATTCGAAGTCTGTTGAGTGGTAAGAGACTAATTAAGAGTAGCCTAAAGGATTATATAAGAATGTAAGGTCGCATTTGGGTTCCCCCCCACACACACAACAACCCTATTTTTAGTTAATATATTTTAATTTGTATTGATAAAAAATGTTATATTATTTTTATTTTATTATTCTTTTAGAGAAAACTTCGTTTTCATCCACGTGATTAATTATAATATATATAATTGCTTAATATTTTAAACTCATCGCTTAGGTTTATTGTAATATTTTTCAAATAAGAGAACCTCCGCACGCGGTCAAATTTTAATGTTAAATGTAAAAAAATGTCTTTATTAAGAGTGGAGTTGGTGGTGGAGGCTTCCTCCAAACTATCACATGTTTTCTTTCTTTTGGGTCAAGTACAGAGCTTTTACAAGTTGATGTTTTTGCACGGGAGAAATTTTTATTTGTCTGGGAATTTCAATTTTTAAAAATATAATTTTTATATTCAGTTTACGATAATATTTAAAATTTAAAAAAATTCAGTTTCCCATAAATTCAGAAAAAATCCGTGTACCAAACGGTTTCTAAAAGTTTAGTTGAAAATTGAAATTATTAATATGAGACGGAATCCAGGACCACAAATTTTTCTAGCGTTTATTTCCGTCAAGTCAAGAACATATAAATTTTTTTAACTAACTACGATTAAATAAGGCTTAATCTACGATTTAACCGGTGATACATATCAGAGTGATAAGCCGTTTCTTTTTCTGCTGTGGTTGGTCAGAAAATGAAGAATAAGGCTTGTTTGATATCGGTTCTTAAAAACAATTTTTTAATTTCCTGAAAATAAAATAAAAAACTTATTTGATAATATCTGTTTTGTAAAAGTCATTCTAAAAATTATAATTATTTTTTAGTTTTTAGAATCAAATTTATAAAACATGTCTGAGTTATTTTTGTTTTGTATTTTGACTTTTAATTTTCAAATTAAAAAAAGGGTTCATTTTTTCTACAGTTAATGTAGATAACTTATCTATATTGAGACCAAAACGATGTCATTTTGAGGCGAAAATCAAGATATTTTTGTAATTATAATTTATTTCAGGGTTATAATAGTCTTTTTTATTATAATTTTTTAATTTTTCAACTCAAAACGATGTCGTTTTAGCAGCGAATGTAGATAACTTATCTACATTCACTTTAGAAACATTAAAGCCATTAAAAAATCATAGGAAACAGTGAAACACCTATTCTAACAATTAATTATTCTATTTTTAGAAGAGAAAAAATATAACACAACCAAACATATTCATATATATTTTCCATTCTTGCATTAGGAGATATGTTAGAGAATAATATAGATTATTAAAAAAATCTTCATCCAATGCCTTAAAATTTTGAATTGAAATAATTATTTACATTATGCACTATTTGTCTTTCCACGTTAGCAGTAGGTGTCAAAAAAATTCATAATATTGTAATATATATTGAGTTAGAAATACCAATTGATATAAGTTATATTTATAATTTTGGCTGTTAGATTCGGTTTTAATTTTTTTAGTTTGTGAGACATTGAATATAAGCGAATCCATAACCAAAAATAAATGTATAACTTGTTACACTTATCCCGGAGTAAGGATAAATTGTTTCATATACAATAAAGTGATAATATTTTTTTTTTACAGTAACATATATTACAATTAAATCCAGGCAATAACTATATCTAAGGTAATATTGATGTAAAAATGCATAATAAAATGATAATCCAGTAAAAAATTACTGCTGTTACCAAAATTTTTTTTACTGCAAACTACTTTAAAATTAAAGTCAAGTTCAATCTATATAGAAATTCTTAATTCAAGTTCTTGTAAATGCACTGTTTTCTTGTAATATCGTAAGATATGGAACAATTCAAACGATTATGGAAAACTTTCACTACCCGCGGCCCGCGGGCAAAAGAAACCGGTCTAAACTCGGCCTTTATTCTCAAAGATCCATTTCGCTTCATCTTCAAAACTCAAAACTTGAACGCTTTGCTTTATGAGGCACAAACCCTAGGTTGGGTTTGTTTATTAGGAAAAGTGTTTGTCCGTTTTAATGACA